TATTTGCATAGTCTCAAATTATCTCCCCATAAGTTTATTAATTACAAAAGAAAGAAAAAAATTGTAACTTTTCAGTGAAGATCCTTGGCAGACCTCAACCAAGTGATCAAAGTAAGTATCGCTAAGAAGACAACATTGGCATCATGTACTTCTTAGTATTATGCATTAAGAAAGGGCACAATTCTGTCAAAAACACATGACCTTATTCTAATGATGGTAAAACATGAAACAATCTAAATTGAGACACGTTGGACAAAATAATTGTCTAGTACTCTTCAAAACCGTCAAGGTCATTGAAGACAAATAAGACTGAGGAGACGAAGGAGGCATGATGATAAAATGCGGTGTGGGATCCTGGGTTGAATCCTGGATCAGGTAGAAGACATTAGTGGGATAACTGGTACAATTAGGATAAAGTCCGTGGTTTAGTATTGCATCAGTGTTAATTAATTTTCATTAATCTTTGAGATTAATTTTTTAGTTCTTGTTCAAAAGTTCTTAAATCTGTACAATTTTTGTTCCTTTACTCTGCAGGCTTATAGTCTTTATTGCCCAAGCCAGGCAGATTCTCAGATCTTACAAAATAATGGTGGTGGGAGTTATGTTAGATTGTATGCACTTTTCCTTCACTTGCAATCCCCACTATTAGGTAGTATTGCTAGGTAATAAATAATCGTGGTTCTTTTTTTCCTTTAGTGGGGTATAACGTTAAGGTAGTGCATTACAACCAGCACTTAAAAAAAATTGGATAAGACAGAGAATGTTGGTGTATATCACAGAGTAATGTTAAGTATGATTTTATGACTCTTGTTGCAGTAGCACATGTATATCTTGCACTCTTACTGATTGGTCATGCAGAATGTATTCTGTATTCTTGGTTACCTTCATAAAAAGTTTGAAAGCCCCTGCTTTAAGAGCTGTGAGCCTTGTGAAGGTAGATGAAATTGTAATAATAAGAAATTTAGAGTGTTTTGTTTGATGATTCTGGCATATTTTGGGCATAGAAATCAGGAGGTTTTCTAAAAGTAGAAGAGTTTTGGTTGGTTAAACAGTCTTAACCATTTGAATACAAGTCCCAGTACTGATCTCCAGAAAAATTATATATATATGCAGAATGCTTGGTATTCCTACAAACAGACAAATCTGTTATGGTACCAAATGCTGTTCTCTGTTTCAAGGACAGAATTTGTCTGTAACATTTAAGGGTGTGCTGGAAATTACTAAAAAGCAAACAAAACAAAACAACCTAGATGAGCCAGATGGACAGAATGTGCCAAGACAGAAGAACAGAGCAGTTGGTCAAGAAGCAGGAAATGCATTTGTCTTACTGTTGTTATGGGCAACCTTCCAGATGTTTTAGGGCAAGAGCCATATCTGTGTGTCTTTTCTCTATGACTTTTACACTTTCTGCTAAGAAAAGTTTTTGAGTACTGGGCTATGTGCTAACTTGTTTTAAGGATTGAGTTTGAAGTGCTGTGTACACGTGGTCTTCATGTTACACAGCCAGTATCTTGCTCGACCTCTAGCTCTTCTGGAGAAAAGGGCCTATGTAAATGTCCTCAGGAAAAGATTTTCATTATTATTTATTATTATTATTATTATTATTATTATTATTATTATTATTATTATTATTATTATTATTATTATTATTTCTTACTGCTCGAATTCTGGATAGATGTGTTAGGGAACAGTGGACTCGAGACTGACGAGATCTGGGTTTTATTGCTGGCTCTGCCACTAGTTACTGTTTAACCAATGCCAAGCAGTTTGACTTTCTCAGCTTCAGTTTCTGTCTTTTGTAAAATACAAGGGGGGTTGTCTCTGGGATGATGGGAGAATCAGATGAGATAGAAAATAGGAAAGAGCTGTGGTCTCTATAAAGCATCTTACAAATGAAAAGAAAGCAATGGTACGTTATTGCTTGTTCTCTAATTAGAAGAGGGTTGTGTAGTGAAAAAAGTTAAATGGATGAAACATCTCTTGGCATGTAAAAGTCTTTTTGTATAGTTATTACAAAAATTTGTAAGGGAGAAGCTTGAGGATAGTTACATCATAGTTGAGAACAAACTCAGTGCTTTTAGGAATTTAGCTTCTTTATAGGGTTGAAAGCAGGGAGTGAGGTTCTAAAGCTTATTTATTGAGTAAAACTGTTATCCATACTGGACAAATTTTGCAGAATTAAAGTAGTCATTCTTTTTAGTGGAAGTATGGCACCTAGACCATTAAATTGACTCAATTTGTCTCCTGCTGAAACATTGTGAGGTTGTGGGAAGAGTGTTCTAAAGAGGATGGGTATTGAATTTAATTTTCCTTAGAACATTATAATCAAAAATCTTTTTAGTTAAATTGTTTGCTCTTTGACCATTAACTAACAAGGTGAGTTGGTCATTTATACAGTTCAAATGATGTCCTTTGGAACCAGCCCATACAGATTCAGCTTAGTTTCATTTCCTGAAGGAGTATGATGAGGGATTTTTTCCCCTTAATTTTGCATAGAGAATATATAGTTCCGTAAGTACAGGTAAATTTCAAAAAAAAAAAAAGAAAAGAAAAGAAAAGAAAAATGAGAGGATAAATCTTCTTGGTGATCACTTTTCTTCCCTTCATTCAAATGCTGTGATGGGTTGAGTCCCTTTGACAGCTTTCCAGATGAGCATTCACTTGATGTTTTAAAAATGACATTCCCTCTTTTTCTGGCCTAAAAATATGCCAGCACTCATGAATTCATTCTCTCTCTTCTCTTTTCATGTGTCTGTAACTATCTATTTCCTAGAGAATTGTATTTTAATGAGATTGTCAGATGGTTTCCCAGCCAACCCTAGTCCATGATATTTCAGGGCATTAGAATTTATTTTTTATATTTTAATTTATTCTAAATCTACACTGAAGAAATTCCTAACAGGAAATTTAAGTCAGGTGGTATAAATGGGAACTAAAGAAACAGACTCGTAAAAATATTTTACATAACTATGGTGCTGAAACTGGTTTCCTTCCTAGTTCAAACCATTTCAGAAACTGCATGAATGACCTTTATTTTCTTTTCTGTAGCACACACGACTATAATTTCCCATGTCTATTTACGGTCTGTACAGCCCTTCTCCAACGTCCCTTTTTTTTTTTTTTAAATGTCAGCGGATTATGTGTTTCTTTAATGGAAAATGTTCTATTTTAAGGAAGCTGATTTTCCTCAGATAAGTAATGGAATTGGTGTGTGTACGCATGTGTGGGGTGTGCAAGACTGAGGAGTGTTAAATTAGTGGATTGAGAGTTTGGAATGACAGTCCTGGAGAGGACTTCTAACATAAAGCCTTTTTATACGCAACGAAAAATAACAGTACCTGGTATTCCATGTTCTTCCTTTTTAAGGAAGATTTTATTCTGTTTTCCTAACATATGGCAGAATAGTCCTGAATCGAATGCTGAAAGTTTCAAACCCAGGTGATTTTGAAATGAGAGGATTACATAGTTCACTAACAGGCTAGATTACTGGGTGGGGAGTCAAGGCAGACTTGACCCTACCAACTCTCGCAGAGGAGTCCCATGTGTCAAGCACACTCCATTTCTTAGTTGCTGCAGCTGCACAGTGACATCCATTGTGAATTGGGAGGGGCATTTCTGACTCCTGTGCACAGTCCATCCTTGCTCTGTCCTTTTATCCCTTCATAGTGATTTGGAACCTGATCGCAGCAAAGATTCTGTTGCTGTTGCCCTGCATCGTGTTGCGCATTTATCTATGTTTCGCAATAACTGGTTATATAAGTTTTGACAGTTTCAGTCATCTTAGGTTTATAACCATTGTTAATATTTCATAAAGAGGGCCGGCCCGTGGCTCACTCGGTAGAGTGTGGTGCTGATAACACCAAGGCCGTGGGTTCAGATCCTATATATGGATGGCCGGTTTGCTCACTGGCTGAGCGTGGTGCTGACAACACCAAGCCAAGGGTTGAGATCCCCTTACCGGTCATCTTTAAAAAAAAAAAAAAATATATATATATATATATATATATATATATTTTTTTTTTTCATAAAGAATGTGTATAACCGTTCTTTATTGTTCTGTCATCTGGAAACTGTGGCAGTATATGTGTTATGTTGCTCGTTTGTTTTAATATAAATTTTACTGAAGTATAATATGAATACAGAAAAGTGGCTAAATCATAAGTGTAGCACTTGACAAATTTCCTTAATGTGAACACACTTGTGTAACCAGCACCCAGACCAAGAAACAGAACATTATGATGTTAGAAACATGAGTTGCCCTCTCCTGAATGCTGCCTCCACCCACCTAGGAGTTATCTCCACCCTGCCTTCTTTTACCATAGATTAGTTTTGCCTGACTTTGAGCTTTATAGTTATGGTATCATGCAGTGATTCTTGTACCTGGCTTTTTTCACTCAGCACTATATTTGTGAGATTCATCCTGTTGATGCATGGAGTTGTAGCTCTTTATTCTCATTGCTATATAGTATTTTGTTATTTTAATACAGAGCAAATTATCTCCTGCAGTTGTAAATGTATATCAGTAAAATGTGGTTTGGACATCGTACTGAAAGGGACTTAGGCATGATATGATTTAGTTGTATTGTGATCTAATGCCTAATTGTTTTATTACTATAAGAACCCTTTTATTAAAAAACAGGAAGTTGTTTTTCTCTTCCTTAAATTCAGAATATTAACTTTACCATATCACTTTCTCTTCCACTTCCCATCAGCTTTAAAAATAATTGCTTCCTCTCACCTTTGTGCTTCCATAAAAATTGTTTTGTATCTGTTTATATTTAATACATTTAGATAGCTATTGTGTTTTTCCTAGATAGTAGATCAGAGATCTGTATGCCTGCTAAATCGAACACCTGGAATCCAGGACCTCTCTTTTCATTCATGTTTCTAAACCCAGCTTCTAATATACCTGGTATCAGTCAGAAAACTAGTTTTGTTGAGAGTTTGAAACTAGAGCTTTGGCTTATCAATGGGGCTTTTGTTGCATTTTGTCATTGTAGCCTGAGATTCCTGAATGCATCTGCAAACAAACTGGAAACCCTCCCTCCAGCCACACTTTCCGAAGAGACAAACAGTATCTTACAAGAGTTGTATTTGACAAATAACAGCCTCACAGATAAGTGTGTGCCCTTGTTAACAGGACATCCTCATCTGAAGATCCTTCACATGGCGTATAACCGACTTCAGAGTTTTCCAGCAAGGTAAAGGAGAGTCATAAAGTGATATTCTTAATTGCATTTTTAAAAATGTGTTCATAGGAAGGGGAGAGGTGAAAGGTGACATGTCTGTGTCTCGGGTAATGTCAAGCTTATTCGCTTATTCCCCCTTCCTTCACAATTGTCTTTTATACAAGCTATGATCAGCATTCCCTAAAGAGAAATGTATTGATTTTCCTAATGTGACTGTATCCAGAGACCCAATCACAAGAATGCTCTTAAGGTTCTAAAATAAGGTATGTTGGCTGGCCAGTTAGCTAAGTTGGTTAGAGCATGGTGTTGTAATACCAAGTTCAAGGGTTCAGATCCCTGTTTTGTTGGTCAGTCAACAAAAAATATAAAAAATAAAGTAAGATATGTCATTTAGCAGGTGTATTTTTTCTTTTGCTTCTTCTTAACCAGTCAAATTAATTTTTCAATAATATTAACCTAATATGATATGTTGGAATGTAAACTAGGAACCTAAAGGTTCTTACCTACCAACTTTTGTATTCCTACCCCTGGTATATAAAGCAGTGGTGGCCTATACAAGCATAGAACCTATCTGACATTACAAATTATGGCTCTTAGAAGATTTCATTTTTAATTTGTTTTCATTTTAATTTCTCATTTTGGGAGCAGTGGCATTATATCTAGCTTTGAGTGAATCTACAGAGTCACAGAGTCTGCTGTGAGGATTTACTCTGCTTCTAGTTCATTGGCACTTATCCATACAACAAGTTAGGAACACTCTTGGAACACACATGCACACATCAAAGAAGCAAATACTAACCCTTGTGGTATTCTGCTGGTAACTGCATCTCAACATTGAGGCCAAATCGTAACACTGGCCCTCCCTCCCTCTGCTGCTGTCAAAGTCCTGGCTGAAGGAGGAAGACCCTAATATGTGTTGACTTAAAGTATCGCCCTGTTTTTGGTAATATATGTGTTTTTTTCTTATTTTTTCCCCTCATTTCATATTAATGATTAAACTTTTTTGTTTATTTCTATGTATTTTTCTTTACTATGGCATGAAGAGATAATATTTTTGTATAAAAATATGGTTAATCACTTAACAGTAATGTATCTGAAAGGGCTCATCATCCTGTTTCAGATAGTAAATATCTAAACCTTGCAGGATAAGTGATCATCAGCTCTAATTCTGAGGATATCCCCCCAGGGACCCATGCCAGATACAATCACCCACCCTAAGTGCAGAGAAATTTTTTACATACCTCTTAAAATTCATCTTGCTATAATTTCTCTCTCACTAGAGGTTGTGATGTGGCATAATCGCTACCCTGGAAGACCTGAGTTCCTAAAGAGCCAGGACTGTGACTTTCTTGTCTCCTTAAGCTTCATGTCTCACACAAAGGTCTGACCTAAGGTTGACCCTCAACAGATGGTTGCTGAAATAAAGAACATGCCACAGTGATCAAGTCATTTTTTGTCCACCTTCTTTCTGTGTTGAGAGATGTAAACTTTTTAACTTTTCCTTTCTTGAACCTGTTTTCCATACTTTTACTCATTTTTTATGAGTATGCCCCATTACCCATTGGTTTCTCCATATTTCTTAAAAAATATCACATATTTAAATACTATTCTTACAAATGCAAGCTATCATAGATGGATTACTTCACACTCTGTGTATGCAATGTTGTTTGTAGTACATCCCGATATCATACTGGATGTTTACAATATTAAAAGATCTGATTCATAAGGCAGAAACTTTGTTCCTGTATCTTAGGCACATATTTATTTTCAAGATAGCGAATAAGATAACCTTTATATTTGAGAGATAACAGAAAGAAAAATAATAAAGTGTTTCATGCTAAATAGTTTAAAGGTATATTGTGACAAATGAAACCATACCAAGCAGAAAAAATACAAATAACTATAAACCAAGTGACTCAGATGACAGGTTTGAGTTACACTGACTGGGAATCCTGTACTTCTTGGAGTTCAGCATCACCTGTGGTAGAAAGAGGGTCAGAGGAGTGGTAGAGGTGGAGGGGTTGTTTTTTCCTCCAGATTTATAGAGAATGCAAGAAACCCTGATTCTGAAATTTTTCTTTATTTGGCTACTTTAATTATTGATTAAGATTATAGATGAAGATTTAACAATAAAAGACATTCTTAAATGAAAGTGTTAAATTACTTTAGAGCATGTTATTAAGGTAAGGTTGGAGAGAGTCCTTCTTTGTAGATGTTTTAGCAAGAGTTGAGAGAAATTTCTTTTGGGTCCAGTTTGAATTCAGGCACTGCCAGAGGCTGAGAGATGATCTGAATGACCTTTCAACACACCCCCTGCTCCTTACCACCACCTTGTAATCATGAATGATGTCAGAGGAATTTGGGAAGTGGGGTTGGAGGAAAAAGCATATCTTAATGTGAGCTATACCCCTGTTCTTTACTCCATCGCCTTGAGTTTTCAGTGCCAGTACAAAGAAATCATACTCTCAAACTAAGCCCTTGTAAAGTAGTTATATTGGATTGATGTTGTTTTTTGACCCATTCAAGTGGATTTTCATTGGAGTTCAGACTAAGCTACATAGAAAAGTGATCATTGCCAGAGTAACTTAATTTATTGACTTCACCTCTTCAAACTGACAAGAAGAAAATGGATGTCTCTTTCCTCCTAAAAATCTGCATGTGTAGTTTTTGTTCTGTAGTAGGAAAGGGGGTGTTAAAATACTTCAGTACTCAGAAATGGTCTTTGTAAAAATGACTATTAAAAGTGAATCTTTAAATTTATAGTAAATTCCTTTTTTGATTCTCATTATATGTTTTATTTTAAAATTGCCTTATAATTATTTTATAACTTCCTCCCTCATGGATTTTCTTTTTTAGTAAAATGGCAAAACTGGAAGAACTTGAAGAAATTGATATCAGTGGGAATAAACTGAAAGCCATCCCAACAACTATCATGAATTGCAGACGCATGCACACCGTTATTGCTCATTCCAATTGCATTGAAGTCTTTCCTGAAGTCATGCAGCTCCCAGAAGTCAAGGTACATGATTTGATTCCATAAACTCTACATTTCAGGTCAGAAAAGAGAATGATTCCCCTAATTTGTCAACTTAGAATGTTTACAGCTTTGTTGGATTTACTCAGAATATAGGCTCCCAGTAGTTCATAGTCCATTAGGCCACACTGTTGAGTCAGCAGTCAGTTTTAAAAAGCAAACAAAACACCAGACTGAGTGTTGGGAAAATTGTATTCCTGGGCTCTGTCCCTAACTAGCTGTATGACATAAGGCTAGCCACATAACCACCCAATACTTCTTTCCCCATCTGCCTAATAATACTTGTCAGACTTATTTCCAGGGTAGGTATAAGGCTCAAAGGATGAGTCAGGTGTGATGGCAGTTTGTGAATAGTACCACTGCACACTCCTACCCCTCCTAACAAATCTAATTAAATAGCAACACCACTGCAGTATCCAATTAGTAATGTAGTGGTAATTCCTTCTACAAACATAGCATCATTGTTATCACCAAACATTCATTTTAGCTGAATGAAATTGGTAGACCAGATAGTATTTCATTTGATAGGTAAAGAATCTGAGGTGCTATAAAATGAAGTGATTGGTGTCAATGAGGACAGCAGCCTGGTGTTGGAGATAGTCTGCAACTCCTGACTCTGGACTTGGGGAAGACTCATGGGTGAAAGCAGTTCACTAGAATGAAAGCCATCTAACAGCTTTATATTCCTGTTTTGTTTCCTTCTTTTGGAAGAGGAGTGCAAAAGTAAATAGTTCTTTATATATAATGAAGTTTTTCACTTGTGTCTCAGCATTTCTAATTATCATCATCAATTTTATGCTTAATGAAAAATAAGTCAGTGGTTATTAACAAGGAACAAAGTAGTCCTATTTAGCCATTCTTCACTTTGCTTTCTGATATAAAACTTATATATCAGATTAAGAAATTATATAGACATTTGAACACACTTTAGCATGAATAATTTTTGATTACATTATTTTTTTAAGAGTGCTGTTATCTCATACATCACCGTGGCATTTTAGAATGTTTATTATAAGCTTCCAGAAATATTTTCTTTATACATCCTGTGTAGTACTTTTCAGAGTGGTGAAGAGCAGAGCGCTGAAGGGAGACAGACCTAGAGTTGGTTCCCAGCTGAAAATTACTTAACTGCTGTTTCTTCATATGTAAAATGAGGAAAAGAATAGTTTTTCCTTTACAGTACTGTCAGGAGAATGAAGTGAAATAATACATGTAAAGCATTTGAAACAAGAGTGGCACATAGGAAGAACTGACTGCCTAAATGTTAGCTACACAGGTCCTCAATATGGTTGAATTGTGATGTTGATTATATAGAGTGACTATTTTGGCTGAAGCTCAACAAAACCCAGGAAATTTATTACTTAAGCAGATCCTTCTTTGCCTCCAGCACAGGAAAGAGGTTGAGAGTTAAGCTTTCCAGGGGTCCTTAGCTGCCTGTTACTTGACATAGCCACTGTGCTATGGTATCTTTTACAGGGGGTTGTTAAACTGGTCTCTGTGTACTGTGCAAGGTGATATACCAGCACAAAAGAGAATAACAGTCTCACGATTAACCTCCTATTTGCTAGTGTTAGTTTCTATACCTGTCTTTTAATGTTATATAACTCTTAAATGTAGATTAGTTTGTTTTTTGTTTTTTTCAGTTTAAAATACAAATAATACAAATAGTCATTTAAAATTTTTCAGGTTTTGACTGGATTTTGCAAAATATAAATCTTGCTTTATGAAAACGAATCCTCTCCTAGACTCTTGCTTGGATTCTTGGATTCCAGAATCAGTGCCTTCTATTGCCGTTGAATACTTTCCCATTTTCTTTTCTCTATGCCCTGTTTTACAACTCTTCTAAATTTTACTTCTGCTATTATTTTTTAAGTGGTTTCCATTCTTTTGTTCTTTGATTGATTTTTTCCCCTCCAGCTATTATGTCATAGCATTTTCTTTAGGTTAACAATGTCTAGCCTTTCAGATCCAGTTCTTCTATTACCAGTAGTACAGGTTTTGTTGTTGCAGTATTTGTGTGGGTGGGGGGAGGTTTGAGCAACATCAAGTATCCTTTGTGTACAAAAATATAAATTTCGTAGCCCTGAACAGATAGTGTTATTGAAAAATGATAGTTATATTGTTTTAGAACTCTGAATTGATATTTTAGTCTTCTTTCACATGAGCATATTTTAAGTTGTAGTATAGTATTTATGCACATTTAAACTGTCCAAAAGAAAATTCCTGGTAAAAATAGGTGCTGTATCTCAAATGACAAATCTACCTATGGAAGTTTTCACTGTAAATCGAGCCCTAAAGCATGTTTTGTTTTTTTTGTTCCTTGTTTTTTTGTTTGTTTGGCAGCTGGCCAGTGCAGGGATCCAAACCCTTGACCTTGGTGTTGTAATACTGCACTCTAACCAACTGAGCTAACCGCTAAAGCATGTTTTTAATGTAAAAGAAAATTTATTTTCTTTATATTAAAATTTTATTATTGAGTTAATAACCCTAGATTATGTTCATATTGCTTCTTGAAAATAAAGTATAGTGGTTGTAAAGTATCTCATAAAAGGTATTTAAGATCATTGCAATTATAAAAACTTAGCAGATAACATAATTTAAAGAGGGATAAAATCATGGTGTATTTAACTGGCTAGTTCTTTCCAAAGAGTCCTATCATTTAAGATATTAGAGGAAAGTGCTTATTCATAGATTTGTTACCAGAGATTTAAAAAAAATATATTTAAAAGGATAAAGTCTCTATATGAAAAATATGTCTGCTGAAATGTGTTTTTAAAATATTTGAAAAATTGGGTCATTATTCATGTAATGACTAAAACAGAGACTATATGCACCTTCTAATCTTGGATAAAATTAGCTCTGGCCTTTTTTTCATTTTGGTATATCCATTGAGATCTGTTAAAGTGATCATCAGGCATCAATTTCTGTATTTGGACAGGGAGTTCATATAAGTTGTTAGTTGGAAAAAAAATATGTTTTTCAGAATTTTCCAGTGAGCCCAAGTGGACCTGAAGTCATAGTACTTTTGTTCCTTAGTATTGTTGTCTTCACCTTTGTTTAGCACTTTCAAATTAGTGTTTTATACCCCTACACTAGTCCTGTATTACTTGGAGCAAGTTTTGTTCTATTCTTCTTCTAAAATAGGCAGACTTCCCTCTCTGTATACAGATTAGTTCTCAGTCAACTAGTGAGGAAAACATCTGAGTCACCACATAAGCCAGGTTGGCTAGACCTGGGCCTAAGCCCACACCTTAGGCTCCTAGTGGCTGCTGAACCCCAGAAGCAGAGATGGTTGGGGGTATGGCACTTGTTTCTCTTTCTGCTGAACCAAGTAGCAATCCCATTGATAATGTGATAGTTTTGTAACAAAACCCAAGTTTCTAGTTGAGTGCTTTGTAATGAGTGACTTATTCTAGCCCTTTCTGAAGTGTATTTTAAGCAGATGAAATAAATGTATGACACATACAGTGAATGACATTTGTAATTTGAGATTTAAGCACCATATCAGCAACTTTTTTGTGAAATTTCCATGTTCCTGTACCTTCTTGATTCTAAGAACATTTAAAGTGTTTTTATTCTCTTCAGAAGGTTGTTTTCATGTCTGTGCTTTGCAGTAATAAACTGCTTGGATAGGTTGAGTGAACTCATATCTAGAATCTGTGTTATTTTACCTGGGAAGTGGAGTATGAAGTGTTTTTAATATGCCATTCTCTTGAGGACAGTGGCTATAGGAAGTTGAAAAAATGGACAGACCTCCTTCTGGATACAGATCAGCTCTCAATCAGCTAGTGAGGAAATTACAATCCCAAGGTCGCCATATAGGCCAGACTTGGCTTAACTGGATGCGGACAAGCCCTGTTTGTTCTTCTTGTCTCTACAATGAGACGAAAGGAGGAGTGTTGGCTCAATAATAAAGACACGAAGAGTATGGGGAAATGGCTAAGCCAGAATGGATGAAAGGAAAGGGATTAATTCTTTGAGAAGTAGGATAATGGAAATGAAGATGGATAAGGGACCAGTTAGGTGTCAGCTGGGTGGAGTAGTTGAGTTGGTAGGCTTAAAAGGTCAGCTAGGCATCTCTAATACATATCCCAAAAACAGAAACTGGGAGCAGTCATCGTTAGGGTCTTGGATTCAGGTTAAGTAATAGTTGTTTAGGGAATTTTCTAACAGGAAGTCTGATGTCAGTTACTGTTTGGGACTCCATACAAGGGCTAATGAAAGAGGAAGCAAGCAGTATCAACCAGGAAGTGGCCGTTGAAGCCACTTTGTACTTGGCCTCACCAGGAACAGACTAGCAGGAAGCTAGGACTGCATATTCTCTCTCTCTTTCAAAATAGGTATAATGAGTTGGCTCAGACTCCTTTTGTTTTTGTTTTTGTTTTTTTAACTCTAGTTTCAGCAGATTTTTCTAAATTCAAAGTCATATCCTTCCCAACAAAATATTGCATACATCTTACAGAGCAGGTTATGTACATACACTAGTCCCCTCCTTATCCACAGTTTTGCTTTCTGTGGTTTCAGGTACCCATGGTCAGCCATGTTCTGAAAATATTAAATGGAAAGTTCCAGAAATAAACAACTTATAAGTTTGAAATTGCCCACCATTCTGAGTAGCATGATCAGTCTTACACTGTACCACCTGGATTGTAAATCATCCCTTTGTCCAGTGCATCCAAGCTGTCTGTGCTACTCGCCTTTTAGTAACTTAGTAGCCCTCTCCGTTATCACATCAACTCTGGCTGCCTTGCAGTGCTTGTGTTCAAGTCACCTTATTTTACATCATAATGGCCACAAAGTGCAAAAGTAGTGAGGCTGGCAGTTTGGATATTCCAAAGAGAAGCTGTAAAGTGGAAAGTTCTTGACTTAATAGGGGGGTGGGATGGGGAAATCATATGCTAAGATTGATAAGTTCTATGGTAAGAACAAATCTTTCCTTGAAATTACAAAGAAGGAAAAGGAAATGTATGCTAGCTTTGCTGTCA